CTAGGGGGGAAAGTGGTATTTTTATTCTTTACCTTGCTAGAGTACTTTTAATCCCTGCTTTAGCTTTTTCATGTTAATTATTGAAATACATAAGTCAATACACATTAGAATCAGATATGAAAACATTTTTTAAAATAAAGCTTTTCTCATTAAGTTGTAAAGTTTCCCTTTTTGGTTTCATACAGTGACTAATTTTTAAAGGGTTTTTTGTTTAGTTTTGTTTTTAATTCTATGGGGTTATAATTTTTGGAGATGATGACATATCTCATTAGATATGTAGTATAAATCTTACCTGAGTTAACAGAGCATCAAATAAACCTACGTTTTGTATATATTTATAAAATGTACCTTAAAAACACTTTCAACACTTTAAAAAATTTAATTGCTTAGCTCAAATTTGAAGACACTTGAAATGTAAGTCCTGAGAGTCCATTAAATGATAATTTTGATTTTTCCTGTTTTTAGAGATTATATCATATAGGCATCAACATTTAAGAATTTTTTTCATTTAAAAATATTGTACAAATGCTTCATAGACATTAACTACTTGCCATTGTGTGGTGAAAGGTTTGTTCTTTCAAAGGTAAAGAAAAACTGCATCTAAATACAATGATGAGACATTCAAGTAAGTGCTTATCTATGAATTCCCTCCTGTATATCATAATAAAGTCTGGTTGATCACCTTTGATAACTGTCTATATGAAATTGCCTTTGCACTGACAGTCTAAATTGTTTTAAAGATACACTTTTCCTAATTGTCTACCAGAGATACTTGCAGGCAAAATTCATGTCAACAACCTGGTTATAACATAGGTCTTTTGAGAAGAGGTGGATAACAAGATGAGGTGATTACTCATTAGTTGTTACAGGAGTCTGAGGACAATTAGAAAGAGACTATGATATTCGAGTACACTGTACTCAAGAGATAGCTGTTGGAAATACGGCATGTTTGACAAAAGCTGTCTTCACTAGGAAAATCATACACAAAGGTCTTATAACCCGTGTTCATAAAAAATTAAGCTAGAAATCATGTGATGCATGCTTCAAGAAACCCTGTGAAAAAGCTGTTACTCCATTTCTGTTATCACCTAGCAAATTTTCCCTATTTTGAAATAATACACATAATCATGCTGGGCCAACTCTGAAGTTACACTGTATATATTATGGTACACAATTACTGTCACATATTTACTTGTAAAATTCTGAATTTAAGAAAAAAGAAAAACCACATATAACAAACTTGTAAGAGTTATACGCAAATCCACTTACACAGTAAACCGAAATGAAGGCATCCTCCAGTATGGCCATCCCACCCGTCTCCACAGACCACAAATTCCGATCTGCTTACATTTTAGTTGAAGTGGTAACATTTCATGGGTTTTCACTAGTAACATGTATCTCTAGTGGAGATAGAGATATTCCACATCTATCCTTCTGTGGAAAACTGCTCTAAGTAACCCCAAATGTTTTAACAGCCTGCATTCCTTTTCCACCTACTTAACCCAGGTGGCGCTAGTGGGAAAGAACCCACCTGCCAATGCAGGAGACAGGTCCCTGGGTGGGGAAGATCCCCTGGAGAAGGAAAAGGCAACCCACTCCAGTATTGTTGCCTGGAGAGTCCCGTGGACAGAGGAGCCGGGTGGGCTACAGTCCGTGGGGTTTGCAGAGTCAGACACAACTGAAGCGCCTGAGCAGAGCACGGCCAGTTTAGAAGCACTTTCTCTTACTTGTGGAAGCAGATTGCGTTATATAGCTTAAGTGTTCCTCTTACAGAGATGCCATTGGAATTTTTTTTTTACTTTGTCTTGGTAACAATTCACAGATTCTAATTTTTATGAAAACGTTAGCAATTTGATCATGTCACTTATTAAAGGCATTACACTCCAACGTTAAAGTCTTGATCTTAAAATCCAGCAGTCTTTTCCTCCATTTGATTTAGAACTTACTACCCAAAAAAATCTTACTTTGCTACAGAACACAGGCAACTGTGTTACACTTTGTTAATGGTCCAAACCCTGCACTTTCCTCTTGTCTTTGCCATAATGGATGTTATTCTTTTACACTAGTGTCCTGATCTGTATCAAGTGGACAGCACTGAAGGGATGAGTTCAAGTAGTTTGAACTCAAGTTTGAAAGGAACTCCTGTGGATCATACACAGGTATCTCCCAGCCTGATCTTCAGTGTAGCAGGAGGCTCTGAAATAGGATCTTCACAAAAAGAAAAAGAAAAAGGGATGTAAGTAAAGAGGATTCCTGTCCATAATGCAGTCTAGGTTACTAAGAGCTCATTCTGTGACACCCTTTGATTGTTCTTTACCAACGAAAAGTTCAAATGGAAGTCTGGCCAATGCCAATAGAAACAATTTAAATCACTTGTAACCCTCTCACCACAGGAGAGTTGACAGCAAAACTTGGGAAAATGTCAAAACATAGATCTTTGATATTCTTGTCATAGCCAATATTCAGTATGTCTGTAGTTTACAGTTGGGGGGAGAAGAGGAATGTGTTAATTTTTTTCTTATTTCTGAGTACCAGTTAAACCAAAGGGGGCCTTTTGATAAGTGACTTTAAGCTCTGGTTTATGCTAAAACAGTTCCTCATTGCTCACAAAAGGACAGTATTATGGCCCATGAAAACTGATTTGTGTTGTATCTTCCAGGGAAGGTTTAAGTGTAAGGAGTTCAAGCCTGACCTGAACTTAATACTTCTTGTTTGGCAGGTAAAGGTGCTTAGTCAATTTAAGAAGAAAGAAAACATGCCATAGAGTTCTGCTTAGGTTGAATTAAAAGAACTGATATACCATAGAAAGCTTCAGTTCTGTTTATTCAGCTGAAACTAAGATTATTTTCAGAATTTAGATTTCATGTCTTTTTCTGTCAGTATGTATAGCCCCTGAAGCCTAGTATTAAAAGTATCTTAAATGACCTAACCAAACATTTGTGTGAAAGCTGAGTATTTTTAAAATGCAAACTTGGTTACACACTAATCTTAGTGTAACATGCAAACATGTTTTAAAGTTCTTTAGAAAATATTACTTAGGCAAGTAAGAGGATATGAGCAAGCCCTGAACAGCCAGAATCACCAGGACGGTCTGTATACATATGTACACTTCAGGTATGGTCTTTTGGTTTGTTTATGCTTTTGCTACATGGTCTTTGCAGTGGTTTAAGACACCAGCTATTAATAAACACTGCTCTTGTTAGAAGAAAAAAGAGGTGTATGACACAAGTGAAGTGGGTCCCCACCAAACACCTTACATTGTCACAAGTTTTTCGATTTGATCAACTAAACTTTTTCTTGCTCCGTGCATACTTTTACCACCATCAGTTATACCATTCCACTTCAGTTTATACTTAGTGGTCACTCGACTTGTGTGAAATATTCTTACCTGTAGTTATTCCAGACTCTTAATAGAAACTAATTCTTTGGTTACTTGAAACTCAGCACAGACTTCTCAAAAGTGAAGAACAGCTGGGCAGGACTGATAACATCTGACTCATTAAGAAAAACACTCAAAATCATGTCTTGTTTGCCACAGTTAACTGCTGCCAGTGTGTCCCGCTCTTCAAGTCACTTCTCATCAGAAAGCTGTTGGTCTTTTCTCTGGATGTATTTCTTTGGGCTACTGCATTCAGACATGATCTATAACTCACCATCAGTAAACGGCTTTGCTTAGCTAACAAGTGGGTCACAACAGATTTTGGTTACAGCTTTATTTTTGTGAAGAAAAGTCTGCTGTTATAAGATACGCCATTTTAAGTTTCAATTCTACTTCTGTTGCTTTCCCATGAGTTGGGAATATTGTGATGAATGTGTAGTCTGGTTATGTCAACATATGCTGTATTTTTTTTTTTAAGCAGTTACAGTGTCACAGTTGACTGTAATCTGATAATATAATCCACACTCCAATGTGCCTTAAAAGCACACCATTCAAAGTGCACTTTTCTTGTTTTGACACAGTGGGTATGAATTGGTAACCTAAAAAAAATAATAAAACGTGTGGTACAGAGATTCACATGGCGTAACAATTGCTGTCGGGTCATCATCTCTATCACGGGTTTGTAGCACACCAGGCGAAGATGTGAAATGTTAAGAATGCCCTACGTAGTTTCTGTAGCAGCCACTCAACCTTCCCTCTGAAGTGGAAAGATGGCCATAGACAGCGCATAAATGATGAATGTGGATACAATCCAATAACCTTTATTTATGGACACTAAACGTTGGATTTCATATAATTTTCACACATCAAGAAATATTCTTTTATCCCCCAACTGTTAAAAATGATAAAATCCATTCTCATGTCACTGGCCAGACAAAAACAGGCAGGAGGCTGGTTTTGGTTGATGGGCCGTAATTTGCTGACTTGCTCTGGTAGATTTAACAGGATATGGTGAGTCCAGAATTAATGGCTTAGGAACATTAGAAAATGATCAAGCAAGTATCTTTGATCCAAAAGCTATATTTAGTGAGGGTTATATTGTTCTTCTTTTAGAAGTTATAAAATATATTAATTCTTGAAACCAAAACTGATACAAACTATGAAATTCAACAAACTACGTGGCTATTCAAAAGGCAATCTTTGTAATTATTTTTTTAAGGAAGTGAAGATCAAAAGAAAAAGAAATGAATTAGATACCTTCTGTATTTACTTTAAAAGGAAGCCACAGTGAGTTAGATCAAATGCATTTACTTTTGTCTTTCAGAATAAATACATCCCTGGAAGGGGGATTCAGAAGTCAAGTCTTAACATTTGGTAGAGGTATGAATAAAAAAAATAACCAAACACTGTTGTCATGTAGAAGGCTCAGGTTGATTTTTTTCAATTAAGACATTAAAAATCATGTAGTAAATGAGGCTAATTACATTACAACATTGTGGTGGTTTTCCCCATACTTCCACAATGAAATTACTGAGTTCTGTTCAGTTGCCCAAATTTAAAAACAAAAACCCACAATATCCCCCCAAATATTTCTAAAACAAAATTACCAGTCACCAACATATATAAGAAAACATTTCTGAAGCCTTTATTTACAAAAGCTTTAAAAACAAATAATCCCTCTGTTTCGCAAATGTTTTGTTTAAAAAGGACCACCCAGTTACAGCATTGAAGTATCATGAGTAAAGAATGTACAAGGGAAACAAACTAATGTGGCTAACATTTGGAGATTTGCTAATATTACTGATTGAAGTGCAGATGACACACATCATAACTTGTAGTCCGTCATTTCAGGGCAGTTAATGATTACCAAAATGCCTTCCTACGCATGCTCTGGTCTGGTCACATATTCCACATGGCTAAATATTTCACAGTCTCTTTTGTCAATATATATAAAATAGATTGCAAAGATATACACAAAAAAATAAACAAGCATTACACTCCTCAGGTACTTTTATTAGCTATACTATATATAGCTAATAAATATATAATTTTGTATTATGTTGTTTTACACCAAATTTCTCCATTTTTTTATCTTTGTAGCAACTATGAAAGCTCGAATTTTTTGTAATTTAATTTGGTACAAAATATACCTAAAGACTTGGCAATCTTTGGATTTGAATGAAATTGATTTGTGGAATCAACAAATCAAGAGCATCGTAAATATGGCTATAAAATTTTTTAAAATAAGGGTAAACAGAGATGGAATAAAAAGAAGCAGATAAGGGAAGTGTGCTACCATAAAATAACTGCAGCTTCAACATCTTGGGTACCAGTTTCCCGGCAGACATTAAATGTCCAATCAAAAAGGATTTTTCCTGAAGGGTGTAAAGCTGGTTTGAAAAACACTTCAGTCACAGAGCAGCCTACACACATGCCAATTAGAAACTGACAGACACTAGATGTGCTTGGAAGATTAATTACTACGCACAGAAACAGCAGTTACTAAGCTCCTCAGTAGTTTTTTGTCTTTTCTTTTTTGTAGTCCTGCTGATTCAACCATTTGCACAATACATGTGCTATATTCCATGGGTCAAAAACAAGTAATATGGGAAAAGTTGGCAGATGGTCATTTTTCCAGCTAAGAGCAAGGAAAACCAAAACTGCTGATAAAACAGAGGATTTGAGTCAGAATCACTCTCTAAAGTGCAAAATTGATGGTCCACAATCTCAAATAGCTAAAACTCCTGCAGAATGAAAGGGAGACATGAAACAGGGAAATAAATTACAGTCAGTGCTAGTTAATTTAGGAACGGGGAAAAAAAAACAAGCTCAAGTAGGTGAAGTTTATCAAAGTATTCAATACCATGTAGCTTTCCCCACTCACACATGCCTACTAACAAGTGTATTTAAGGCCGGACTGAACCTGAATACTTTTCTGTTTGTTAAGATCTGAGATAGGAATGGTCATACTTAGTGCTGAAAGGCAGAAAAATAAGCTATGAAGAAAAAAAAAAGTAATGTCTACTGTTCAAGGGATTCAACCAGAGATAAAACCTATATACAAGCATGTGTGTATCTCAAATAAAATAAAAATAAAAGAACTATTTCATGTCATGACTGCTTGCTGGCTTCCTCTTCATATGCATTCCCTGTGCCATTCTGTACATAGGATGAACCAGAACCAAGGCCATACAAATGACCACAATATTTGGCATCATCAATATGATCTTCAAAGAACATCTAAAAAGGAATTTTGGAAAAAAAAAAAAAAGATAATTTTAACCAAAAGGTACGACTGGTAATTTATATTTCAGCAATGTAAGTACTAACTGTTCCCTAACTATAATGACAGCTCTTATCTATGGTGCTCCTCTGAAGCCACACATTTAAATTAAACATATAAGACTGATGTTCTTAAGAAGTACAGAGTTCAAAAGAAATCAAAGAAAAAGACTACTAAAAACTATATAAACACAATGCCTTTCCTATTAACACTCAGACCATTTTATGAGAATTTGTAATAATGGGTCAGAAGATCCTCTGGAGAAGGAAATGGCACCCTACTCCAGTACTCTTGCCTGGAAAATCCCATGGATGGAGGAGAGTGGTGGGCTACAGTCCATGGGGTTGCACAGAATCAGACACAACTAAGCAACTTCACTTCACTTCACTTATGCAAAAATGGCAGGCATTTTTAGTCCATTAATTTAATAATACTTAATCATGAGAATGAATAAAAATAGCCAATAATGGGTTGGGAAAGGGGCTAAGGTTTGTAAGTAGCCTTAAGTCTATGTGAAAGGCCAAGACTTTTGGCTAAAAACAAACCCCAAACATGTCTGGACAGCAAAACCTGAACATTCACATTAGGTTATTATCCTTAATAAAGCCAAGGAAAATAAAGATAACAAATTAATAGCAGAGAATCCACCATTAACCAAACCATCAAGGCATATTTTTAAATGCAAAGCTGAGAACACAAAAGGTTGTCTCTTAATTCTCTAATGGAGCACTAGGAAGATGTACAAAACAAAATATTTACTTGTCAGGAATACAGTCCAAATCACTTCTGAATCAATATCACTTGGCAAAATAGCTATATGCTTCCTATTACACATATTATTAATACATTTCTACAAAAAGTTCTAAATTCCCAGAAGTATCCTCAGTCATTTCTTTAATGTCTAAGAGGATATTCTCTAAAGAATTCTACAGTATTTTGCAAAAAGGAAAAATTTTTGTAAGCAAAACTGTCCACTGCTTTCTTTTCGCACAACAGGTTTTCTATTCTTCCCATTTATCTATTAAGTACACCTATGCCCGTCACTTAACCTAAGAGTAGACTTGGACTCATTAAATTTCATTTTTCTCTGTAACTGACTTCTTTATACTTGAAGAACTTATCTCTGCCTTTTGCCTCGGAATGTCTGCCCAACATGATTTTTGACTTTACTATTTCAGATTTATTTAACCTCTTTAGAATGCAAAACCTCTTTGTGAGAATCTACTAAACAGCATGAGTCCTACTCTGTAAATCCTCAAAGTACTGAAGTACGGCAAAAATTTAATACCTAAGAAAAGACAATGCCAGGGAAAACTTAAATTATATGGATTTCTTGACTTGACAGAAGCAACACTTATGTGATTAACAGGAAGTACTCTGGAGTTCCCCTATTAATGTGTATGACCTTGGATAGAAGATACTGGCCTCTAGCCTCGGCTTCCTCATCTAAGAAATAATATGGTTGGACCTACATGATTTCTAAGGTAGTTTAAGTTTCGTATTCTACTAAGAATTTATTTTCTTCTTTTCCTTATGAACTGCATTTCAAGATGACTCATTTTTGATTACTTTCATTCAAGTGTGGTGGATATGACTTATATGGCAACTGTAATTATAGATATAATTAGTGAAGATCACTTAATATGTACTTATTGCCCCCCAAACTTTTGCCATTATATTTTAATGTTCTCAACCTAACAACCAACTGAGAAAAAGGCACTGATGTCTTCATACTTCTCTCATTTTGAAAAAGGCCATTCCTGTGAGCAATGAGTCAGATCCTGCCTGATGCTGTGGTCCTATCCGTTCCAGCTCTAACTGTTCAGCAACTTCCTGTAAACCACCCTAAAAGAAAGAAAAATTGCTTGTCAAAAGAAAAACATTGCAACATCTGGATTCAAAAATACATAACATGCACAATGATCAAAACAGCAATGAGTTTCAGGAAAGATGGACCTTATGAAGATCAGCAGAAAATAAGAGAATGTGAATCATGATGCATTTGTTGAATTGTGGGAGATGTTTAGAATTCAATAGAAAATGAGATCCTAATTGGGAAAATTTATCTTCATCATACACTTTAAGGCATGTGATGGCAAGTAATTTCCCTCAAGACATGGGGGCAGCAGATCATATACAAGGTAACACGGGCTAACGTTTACCGAGTACACTCACAGGCCATCTCTCCATCCATCAATTCTTATAAAATGGACTGTATGCAGGTACTTTATTATAAATTTTCTTAAGCTTCATCTAAAAAGTTTCATCTAAATAATTTGCACAAAACAAAGCTGTTATGACTAATCAATCCTTGACTATAGTTTTTGTTAGTTAAAAAGAAAAAGAATATGTTGTTATGAGAATATAACCCTTTAGAAGGGTCTGCTAAACACCGACCTATGTAAATACTGCTAGGATTAGAAAGGAAAGATAATGAGATTGAAAGAAAGGAAGGGAAAGAAGAAAAGAGAGAAAGAAAGAGGGAAAGAGAATAAAGAGGGGAAAATGGGAGAAGAGAAAGCAAAGAAACAAACATCAGGACCAATGACAAAATGCACACAAAGATATTTCTCTCTAATCTGTTAGGGCTCTACCAGCAAACTAGCCCTTTTCTACATCACAGCTTGAAACAGTGCTTTGCACAGCAGTTGCTTCAGGGCTAAAAACAGCACAAGGATTAGGTATCATTAGCAGCTGCTCAGGAGAGCAACAGAGTCGTCATTCAGTATGGTTGACTATACGTCAGAAAGTACCTTTGTCATCAACCTAAATTTTAACACTGACAGTAATTCAGGGCATATTCAGAATGTCTAATATGCTAAGAAAATTTTCAACAGCATACACACAATGAATAATAATTTGGTTCTCTGTTCGCTCAAACTGTCACTATTCAGACACGTCAAATTTAAAAAGAGTATTTTCACAGCCAGATAAAAATATTTAGGCCTTGGATTCTCAGCATGCAATACTTTCAGTGGATATCCTGTCTAGAGACATGAGGACAGCCTACTGTAAGTTCACCTGAGTCACAGTAGACGTCTATTCAAATTGCACAGAATTCTGCTTTTCTTTGGTGCTACAAATATGAAGCAGTATTTCTTAAAAACTTCCCAGTTGTATGCTATATCCTGTAATGAGGTAAGCAAACTTTGGCCCAAAGACTGTTTCTCTTAGGATTTTCAGTTCATCTGTCAAAAGCAAAGCTTCCTTAGTCAATTCCTAAATTATTTCTTCCCACATAAAAGTAAAACTCTTTAAGTTTTCACCATCTCCTAAAAGTATGACTCCTTGCACTTCTAAAAAGCAAGGGAAGAGAAAACTTGATCAGCCTTGATAAAGATTCCATGAAGCAACAACTTTATGTAAATATTTTTCTAGAGTTACAGCTTAAGCACAAACACACCTGAAAAAATCAAACCACTATATTCTTTTGGAGTCTGTACCCCTATCAGTGAATTCACTCTAAAACTAAGAGCACTTTTCCTGATAAAGACACCTTCTTTTTGAGAGAATTAATGCTCAGAAGTAACAAATCATTACACACATGGTAATAAGCATCAGAATGTAAGCTGCTGTTTAGATAGGATCTACCCAATTACCAGCACTTATTACCAACAAGATGATGGCCATGGGCTGGTAGTGAGAAGGAAAAAGAAAAACGAAAAAAAAATCCCTTTATAGGAACATGACCCTATGACTAGACCTGAGAATATAACCTCTCACCAAGATAAGCTGAAGGGGAAACTCTTTTTGCTACATGACTGACTAGCTGCACACTGCTGGTCCCGAGACTTCCCCTTACATGGGAAGATTATGTGTTGGGAGAGAGGGAGAACTTTCATTTCTGTGTCAGAGTCTCAGATTCTGTGCTAGTTCATGTTCAACGTGGCAAAAGAATGCTAAGAATATGATCTTTGGTTTGAATCTTGCTAAAGCTTATTCTGCAAATATATAATGAAGCTTTGAATAAGGATTTCTTATAAACTATTTTTATGCAAAAAAGGAATCAGATGACAATGTATAATCAGATAATGTGCATTTAATATAAAACTTAAAAATAAGGTTTAAATCAACATCCAACCCAGCATCTTTTAAGTCAGTTACCCACTCTGCATAGCATGTTGATTACAAATTAAAACCATTTAAAGACTTACTTTGAGATTTTTGCAGCTCTTCATGAGGTACTTCACATCATAAATGACAGGAAAAAACAATCGAAGGATCTCAAAGAAGTCAAGTTCTTCTTCAGGCAAGTTAGAGTTGGTCAGGATTTTGATTAAGTAGCCAAAGTCATAACCACTATGAAAAGGTTAAATACAGAAGAAGGACCATAAAAACCAAAGAAATGAAAAAAGTTTTTTTTTTTTCAATACAACTTTTAAGTGAGTCACACCATAAATGGGAGAGGAAAAAAGAAATGAACCAGAAAAAATGCACAAAAGAACAGAGAAAATAAACACATTTACAGTTATAATGAGGAAATGCCATCATTTACAGACAGTGATAAGAACCTGCCATATCATCAATCAGGAATATCAATATATAAATCTCTACAACTATCCTACAGCTGTAGTCACTAAACTACTATTTAGCAGATCCTTCAATAGAGAAATTTCTAAAATCAAAATGTCCACAGCAGATGTCTCAAAAAATAAAGATGAAAGGACACTTGGCAAAAATGTCAAAGATAGCAGAAAAACTGGCAATCAGAAGACAAAAATAATGCATATCTTTCCATCATTTATATAATGCAGTCATACATTTCAAAAACCCAAAGAGTAATTCCCTACCAAAGTATTTTCACTTAAGTAATTTTATAAAGAAATACTCTCTTCCCTCAAAATTTTGTTCCTATCTCAATCCCCCAGAGATACTAGTGGGAATGTTGTACATGAAAGAAGTGAAGCAAATAAAGGCTGAGAACTACGATCTAGAGAGCAAAAAGCCAACTCCACATACTCATCAAGATCCTGTCCCTGTCGTCTGGCCTTTTCACAGCTTTATACCTCCCTGCGTTCCACCCCACAATCACACCCCTTCTCTTCCCTGTCAATTCTTCCTTAAGACCTCTCGCAGGATGCCTTCCCTCAAGAGCCCCGCTCCCACAGATTTCTCAGACAAGCTGTTTTCTGTACCACCATTTAAAGCACATGTACTGTTTTCTCCACTTTAAAGGGCAGGTGTCACATCTTGATTTTTTTTTTTCTTTATGACACATAGTTGGGACTTAAATATTTGATGAGAAAGGCTATTTAACATACCTTTGAAAGTGAGAGTACATATAAAATTTCTATTTAGTGTTTAGAGTTTTACTTCTTACTTCAAAAAGAGGGGGCGAAAAGCTGTAACATTGAAAACCATAAGGAATATCAAGATATAAACAATAAAATCAGAGATTGTAGCCTATTTTGTAACTTAATTCCTAGAATCTTATCAAAGTGCTTAACATATGGTAGATAACAACTATTTTTTTGATGAATAAATGTTTTCATTCTAAGGCTTAGAAATGTTAACTCTATTTATTAAATAAGTAAACCTGTGTAATAACACAGATTCCAAATGGCATTGCTGGACTTAAACCAAGGTCTGTTTTTGCAGCCTACACCCTTTCCACTATGCAAGACTATCTGTCTTAAGTCTGAAATGGATCCCACATCACTAAATGAACCTTTAAGGAGACCAACACTAGCCTGTTGAGCTATACTGCAGCCAATTCTCTGCAGAACTAACCCTGAAATGCTGACACCACGACCCAAGTCAATGTGAAGCAGCTGGAAAATGGTAACACAAATACCACGTGCAATGCAATCTTTTACCTATGAAATGATAACCATTTGACCCCTTCACAGAGGACTACTCCTGATGTCATAAGAAGTTCTGCAAAGTACTGGGTCTCAATTCCTTCCTCCTCATGTTTTTTAAACTGGATACCAGATGTTGTGAGCAGCTCTATAGAGTCTTGGGCATACATGTCCTCCCTGGTAGGAGAAAAAGAGAGACAACGTTGAAAGTGCCGTATTTCAAACTGTGTTTCTCCCACTGATATCTACAACTACAGTACCAGAAATATCAAAGAAAATGGGCCCGAGTCCATTTGTTCCAACATTTCATATATATGGAAGGTAAATACAAAGGTCAACTTAATTTTAGAAGAATGTTCATACAGCAAATTATCATTTGAAACAGTCCAATGGTGAGATTTTAATCTTGACTATCCATCTCATTCATTAGCCTTTCAAAAATTAAGTAAATTTAACTGGGTTCAAAAAAAAAAAGGGTCTTCTACTCACCACAGCTACCACCACAGAGTAACAGACATGGCTTATCCAGGCCTTCAGCCCCGGCAGCCATTTTAATGCTGCCAAGCAGAGCTGCAGCCACAGGGGTGGAGCCTGAGTCTGTCTCCCAGGCTCTCAGCGGAGAGAAGGGAAAGAGGCTGAGGGGAAAAGTCCTGCTGGGCCTGCATTAAGCCACACTGCACCTTAGAGGACGAGGACCTGCTTCCTCTCACTGCCCATGAGCCTCTCAAACGGTTCCGATCAGCAGTAAGCTGTTCAAAATTAAAGACTGCTGGAGCAGCATTAATTTCTTCTTCTAACAGCTTACTCCTAGAAGATTACCTCTCAAATATCAAGCCAGGAAATCTAAATATAAACCAATCTTTCAAGATTTTACTTAAGCCAGAATGAAAACCATCTTTAATATCTAACCACAAGCACACAGGTATCCAAAATACTATACTAAATCAAAAAAGTGATCAAAATGAAGGTATGTTTCTGAGAATGAAAAGTATTTCATGCAGTGCCCACTGGATGTTTCTATTTACTTTGAAAATTTTGAGAATACCAATTTCTACCACTTAGCAAAAGAAAGTCCTATAAAAGCTTTAATGAAACTAAGCCAAAAGGACTATTGCCTTTGAAAAGTAACAAAACTAGCAAATGAAATATTTAAAAACAGGAACTGCAACAATTAATCGTAAGTCAAAATTCCCTGGAAAATTATGCCAGAACACTCTTTTAAAAGGATATCTGAATAAACCCAATACAAGTTTTTTCAATTACACAACAGATATTACTGTCCTTCTTATACTAAAACACGTACCTTAAACAAGTAGAATCTCACTCGTCATGCCCAGATGCTAAAAGACATGCTCTAACAACTATAACCAATCAAAGGCATGAGACTTCTTCTCCAGGTTCACATTATTCTGGGCCATATGCTCACTTTACTTCTATGATCTCTCTCTTAATCACAATTTAAGCTTGAAGAGGGCAATGAGTTTTGTCTGTTTTGTTCAATGTTATATTACCAGGGAGTACTGCACTATTTAAATCAGTATTTCCCAAAACTTGCCCAATGACAATAATCACTCAGAGAACTTGTCAACAATATGGATTCACAAGTGCCACACCTGGACATACTGGATCACCATCTCCAGGAGAGAGACCTGGATGAGTAACTCTGGTGTTTCATGATCAAATATCATATTCTACTTTAATTTTCATGTACATATCAAGTCCAAATTCACTTTAGAGCAAATTCCCAAACATTGATCAGTACCTAACAGTTCTAATTCTCGGATTTCAGCAACAGAAAGCAGACAGAAGAGTTATAATGATATGACCAACTTTCCTCAACATTATGTCCCTAGGACCTAGAACAGTTGCTGACATATTCATTCTAGGAACTCAATAAAAAGGTCAACTTTCATCTTTCTTCAAAATATTCAAGATTCATAGTGCTCTTTCTCCACATTAGGTAGAGCTGGTTTTATTTTCCAACTGACCCTTTCCACTTCAATATTTTTCACTACATCCTTAAAGATCTCTAAAGATATTAACATTAGGATGAAACGCAGAAAAACTACAGCATGAGTTTTGCTGTATGAGGAAAAAAATGTCTTTCAGAAAATGCAGTAACAAAACAGTTGTTATAAGAACAAAGATGTATCTAGAAAGGAAAAATGTCTATTTTACCAAAACTGAGACCCTGATAGGTCACCTCCTACTCACGTACTGAGATCATAGCAATACCTTAGTACAGAACAACGTTCTGATGACCAGCTTGGGAAAAAAGTAACATAGAGCAAATGAAATGGTAGAGAACCAATTTTAAAAAGGGTTACCTTTTGGGAAAAAGATAAAAGGGAATTTTCAGAATTAAAGGACTTATATAGAAGATTATTATCAGTTTGAATAGAGATAAGTAACTTTCACCCTTGACAAAGTTCTGGAGAGTATATTATTAAATCCAACAGACAAAAATAAAAACAAAACAAAACAAAAAAAAAAAAATGAAATAAATCCAACAGAGTGAAAACAGAGTCAGGCTAAACATAATGCAATTAGAAGCCATACTATTACACCACTGACAACATTATCCTCTCAGCTCATCAGCCCTGCTTTTCTTTAGATCTTACATATGTTAAGTATCACACTACAAAGAACAGAGGTCCTTAAATGGCACTATCATCAACTGGGGCTTCTCTAGTAGCTCAGATGATAAAGAATTCGCTTGCAATGTAGGAAACCTGGGTTTGATCCCTGGATCAGGAAGACACCCCTGGAGAAGTGAATGGCTACCCACTCCAGTATTCTTGCCTAGAGACTCTCACGGATAGAGGAGCCTGGTGGGCTACAGTCCATGGGGTCACAATGAGTTGAACAAGACTGAAGGGATTGACCACCACTACACCATTAATTGTCCTACAGCTTCATTTACTATTTTGCAAATTGGCTGTTAAGATCATATAAAACAAGCAGAGACTGTCAAACAGAAGGATACTGTGGTATACTAACATACTCAAAATGTATTCAGCATTTCCCCATCTTACAGTCAGTTTGTAAACCATCTGCCCTCACCCAAAAACACTGGAAACTTCCCTAAGCTATCAAGACTACTCTCACCCATGATACAGAAGTACTATAAGTAAAGAAACTGGGTTGTGACCCAGGACTTGAGGTAGAATTCAGATTCCAAATTGTTTCCTAAAAGAAACACCAGGCTCAAGGATACTAATACTTCTCCCATATGTAACCTGTAAAAGGTTCTGAGGGTGGGCTGACCCAATAACTGATTTGAAAGGAAAATGCACCCAAGTTTCTAGGAATGATCTTATTATCACCTCTGATGAGCCTCCTATTTACACAATGGACTATGACCATGATAAGAATCTCTTCATGAGAAGGTTAACTTTTACAACAAAGACATACATATTTCAAATTGCACACAAAGTTTGAAAGCAAAATTAATGTTGTAAAGTTATCTTTTTTCTATCAAGAAATATTTTCAAAACCCAGTTTTCCAAATTTCAAAATAGTGGCAGTTATGCTTTTCAAGTAACAGCTCTAAAACTCAAAGTATCTGAATTTAAGTCTTCTTTATCCTGATTTTTTTGTCCCATAATAAAAAGAAGAAACATAAACTTTTGAAATTTTAGGTTTTAAATATTTCCAGGGTAGCAATACCAAATTTCATTTGTTGTACCTGATGGAAATTAATTTCTAAAATTAAACTAAAAAAAAAACAAGTTTGGGTTAAATTTATTTCCTACTTACGTCAAATTAAATTTAAAGTTAAACTGCCAAGTTGAAGTTCCTGGTGGGTATTCTCCTTGCTCATTCATAAATGTCAGTCCTAGCTGAATTATCTTTAACAAGTCTACATTACACCGCAACAGTTGGTACTGATAGTCAGCATTGCTCCTGAATTCTCCAATGGGTCTTGCAACCACGCCTGGAAACTCGGTGTCCTGTAAAATAGTTTTAAGGGTCATTACTTACTAAATGGATAAAACCACAATCCAAAAATTCCTAGAATAATTAATTTTGAGTACACATTGAAGAATCCTGTTATGGGTGATATTCTACACAATTCATGTTTAATTACAATGTACCTTTTAATTAGGAAGAGTATTACTTTTTAAAACCATAAAACCACAAACTTAATGACTTCATCTTACTTTAAATATCATACCAGTAAAAAATTACCATGTATAATGTACACATAATAAATGCAACTAAGTACTCTATTCCCGAGGAAGGAGGAAGAAAAAAATTACAAATTCATGTTTCTCAACAAGTATGTGAAACTATGCTCTCAGTATTGTAATATTAAAACCAATGAAGACGGTTAAAAAGACTAAAAAATGTACCATAGTTTTTGATTTCTTTTCTGAAGTATTTAGATAAATACCAAAACCCTCCTACTTTCTTGGCCTAAAACAGTACTCTCTATACTCCAGAGAAAGCACACCCTTAAAGACTGCATGCCACCACTCATTCCTGTAGAATGCTATCACATGTCTAAAGTTGTCATTGCTTTCATTTGAGAAATAAATGATCACTATGAATTTCTACTGGAAAAAATAACTTCATTCTAATTATGGATAAGAAAATACATCTAATTAAATAGAACATTTAATGTCCTATCTGTGTACATGTCCTATCTGTGTATCTGTGTACATTCAAATATTCATATTTTAACCAACCAACCTGCCCTCCCAAAAGAGGCATATTTATTTGTATTAAATATGCTAAGAAAATAAACATATCACTTTAGTAGTAAAATTCAAATTAAGAAACTAAGAACAAAACCTAAATTTCAATTATTATAAAGAAGGAGCGAAATGGAAACTTTTCTAAATTCAGTCAAACTCAACAACCACCTTATTGGATGCTATGTATTATGCTAAGTGTTGGGGGGAGAAAGGATGATAAGCTCTTTCTCCTCGAAGCTAATAAATAATCTAGAATACAGTAGAGAAGTCAAAACAGACAGTGCTCAAGAAGCAAAAAAATTAATTAATTGAGTAGACAGGCGAGGCAGAGTGAACAGTATATGCAAAAGTAGAAATGATTAACACCACAGTGTGTTCACGGAACTCTACTGGTAATTAAAAAACAAACAAAAAACTACAGATCAACAATGCTTCACTGGGAGATCTGAATTTTTTTGTTTGAGAATGACATCTAGGAGCTCCATCTGGTATTAGTATCAGGCCTTAGTGTTGCTAGGAGCAGACCTGGCATTCACAGCTAGGTCCTAATGGGTCTTCTGCTGAATATAAACAATTTCACACCATAACATCACACAAGGCCAGCCTGTAATCATAACTGAACATACGCAAAACCACACATGTTGTCCAAACCATCAAAATGATCAAACCTCCTTCTATCTTAAATAATGAGTGAGTGTTGCTTCTTTACAGCTTTAGCCTCACTCTAGTCTTCTCTCATGCTAGTTGAGACTCATTAAGATATGCTATCATGGAGTTACCCCAGCTTCCCAACAGTTCAGAGCAACACTCCACTTCTTCACTCCCTTCCTAAAATCACTGCCACAGACCCCAATTCCTAGAAGGCCTTTCTAACACTCGCAGATGCAAATAACCCCATGGTTCTAAGAATGCATTTTTCCCTCAATGCAATGAGTAAGAAACCCAACTTGTCACATTACTGGTGCGTTCTTGGTGGTCTTTAGTTGGGAGTCATTGACAAAATTATTTTCATTAAACACCTAAAAAAAAAAATCAACCAGAAGGGTTGAATTCAAAATGTTTTAAAATCCTCTTTCATTAAGGCATTTTAAAGATTTTGCTCATAGGCATACCATAGCAACGTAATTATATTTTCGGATAACTTGACGAATTTTCTTCATCTCTTCATCCAGGTTGCAAGCCCAAACTTCACAAATTCTTTGGCTATGATCTACAGTTGCTGCTGGCATAGTGAGGGCACAAGGAGTCTAGCTGCCAAGCATCAAAATGTTATACTTGATTGAAGATTTGTTTCGTAAATACTTTATTCTTTATTTGTGTACCTGTCAAAATAAGAATCAGTTATACCAAGAATCTGAATCACACAATGATTGAGTTTATATAAATTTAAGAGATATTTATTTGAAGTCCTTGATTTATGAGAAAATCAAAGTTTAGGACGTGACTCTGTCTAAAGTCACACAGCTAATCAGTAGGAGGAAAAGGAAAACACAGGTCTCCTGGTTCTAATGTTAGGTAAAAAGTGTTTTCTGCATACACACTAATCATTTTTAAAAACTTCCCATTAATTAAAAATTGCTCTGAATTCAACTCACTCTCTGAATAAAACATGAAAAGTGACATACTGATACACATGACAAGATCAGATGTTACTAGGGCAAAGGTAGTATTAGTACTTGCTTTTATTCCTAATTGAACATTCAAAGTCTGATTTAAAGACAAAATTAACCAGAATTTATTTAGGTCAGATGGGAGGGGCCAAAAGTAAATAATTTTTTTCTTTTAAAAAGTTCTTTCTGAGCAATAAAGAACAGCCACAGAAACTGTTTCAATGTCTGAAAGAAGGGAAGCGATAGAGTCTCTGCATTTCAAACTCTTTCTAATTTCCTAAAAATCCGAGCATTTTCCCTGGTTACCAAACACACATGTCACGTTTCTGGTCCTTATAAACACAGGTTTCATGGTAACAGTACAGACCAACATTTTGGTTCTTGAGCGGGTTCCAGATCCTCTTTCGCTTTTCACACAAGTTTGAAAAAACCGTAACGGACAAGTGTAAAAGGGAGTTGTGACCTCTCCTTATAACTCTACAGTCACAAATGTAACCTCGAGTGCTCTAAGAACAGAAACCAAAGATCGAAAGGCTACTCCCTTTATAACTCTCTTTGCTCGGCTACACACACACAGACACACACACACACACACACAATTTGGAAAGGCCCTGTCGTTGAACATTGCTTTCCTCCACCTCGCTCTCTACTACACTTCCAGAAGACCCCGAAAAGGCACCAAAGGCCTTCTCGTCACTGGAGGTAGCCAACTCCGAACATCGGGTTCCCAACGAAACGCGAGGACAGTACAGACACATTCAAGTCACAGATAACTCTCTTCCCTGGCAGAGAGCCAGCGCGGAGGCTGCTGATAACCACTGACTGGAGCCCGATTGACTCCCAAGCCCCGCCGCGAGAAGGACTGCGAAGAGCTTGACGGTCTAGGCCACCGCCCTCCACTCCCAATTTCCGTCCCGCACCACTGAAGCCCCAGGTACAAAGCCTTCGCGTCATCACCCCGCGCCACCCCCTCGACAGACCCCCTAGCCCTAATTACCCTCCCCCCCGCCACCCGCCGCAGGCCCGTCCCTGCGCCCGCCGCGCTCCAGCTGGCGCCATCGCGCACCCTCTCAGGTTCATCGTTCCCGCCCCCTTCCTACTTCCCCAACCCGCCCTTCCCCCGCCAAGTCTGAGGTAGACGCGAGATCTACTTGTGTCGCTGAGCTCGCGCTCCTCCTCCTCCTCTTCGCCATAGAGACAGCACCCAGCGGCGGCGGCGGCGGTGGCGGTAGCGGCGGGTGCGGCGGCGGGTGCCCCATAGACACCGCTCGCCCGGCAAGGGGTAAAGGGGAGCCGGAGCTTCGCCGCACCTCGCTGCGCTGTCGCTTCTCGCGCGTCCGGGCGGGGGCGCCGGATGATGACGCCATCCGCAGAGGGGGCGGGGCACGCAGGTGACGGAGGCTGAGGCGGTGGAGAGTTAAAGTGGTCCGGCTGTTTGACTGGCTGGTTGGGGCGTCAGGCCGCCGGTCTAGAGCGGCGAGTTCCCTTCTCTTCAGCTGCTGTGCTGACAAGACCATGCCCCCCCGGCCCCGAGGACCCCACGCCGGGCCGGCTTAGAGAAGACGTGGCCGCCCAGCACTTGGGCCGGGCCGTCCCTGCCCGTTCCTCCTCTGTCGCTGTAGAACGGCCGGGCTGAGCCGCTGGGAGAAGCAGGCCAGAGCCTTCCGGGGCCTCGGCCCGGGGACCCGTGGAGGATGAGCTGGCTCTTTCCCCTGACCAAGAGCGCCTCCTCCTCCGCAGCTGGGTCCCCCGGTGGTCTCACCAGCCTCCAGCAGCAGAAGCAGCGCCTGATCGAGTCCCTCCGGAACTCACACTCCAGGTGACTAGTCGCTGCCTCTCCGACAGGAGGAAGAAAGTAGGGCGGGAGGGCGGGCTGGTGCTAACCACACTCGTAGCTCCTCAGGCCGACTCCCGCCAGCTGCCGCCCTTTTTTTGGACATATCTCCCTTGGTCTTGGGTCTCACGCTTGCTCTCCCATCCCTGACCCACGTTCAGGATTTCTTCCGGGACCCCCTTCCCACCCTCCCGCCCCACCACTATTCAGCTCCCCTAATTCCGACTTCCCTCATCTCCCTTGACACACCGCTGACGACTGCAATCCGTCTCCTGTCTTGTCTGCAGTATGCCTTGCTGCCCGGCTTCCTCACTAATCTTGCCTTTTACCCACCTGTTTGCCGCTTTGGCCGAATTGTTAAAATTCTGTACTTGGCTAAAAAGAACTGTGAAGAGTAATCGGCAAGTTTCACAAATAGTGGGCCATTTTTGGAAAAAAAACTTTGAACCCTAAAGGAAGGGGAAAACAGTTTTCATAAGTGAGTTCTCTTGTGGAAGTAACGTACTCAATCCTCTTAAGTCTCTAATAGATTTACCCTGTTCATTCTAACCCACCTCCCCGCAGCTGGTAACTATCAGTCGGTTCATTTCTCACTTTGTGATTCTTGTTTCTACACTCAGGAATTACCTTCAAGTCATTTTGATTGTTCTCCTGGCGTTGTTTTTGTTTCGTTTTGTTCATTTTCAGCGTGGTCAGGTTAGAAATATTTTGCAATTAAGATTATTTCAGCTGTTTTTATTGCACGTATCTGTGACCTCTAGTGGTTTTAAAAAATTAGAACAGCCTCTCTATATGAATTCAGTTCAGTTCAGTTCAGTCGCTCAGTCGTGTCCGACTCTTTGCGACCCCATGAATCGCAGAACGCCAGTTATGCAACTGTATTTACGTGAGTGTCAGCATGTATTTTAATGGAAAGATCAACATCTTAATAGACTATTCATATATTTGAAATAAATACTGAGATATTAAAATCGATTACTTCTAGGAGCCATTTTATGTGTTACGCTAATTTTTTTCTAAACAAGTTATAGAATGAAATTGTTTTAAATTAGGTGTATTGTTAAAAGAAAAAAATCATTGCAAAATCGCTTTGGCTATAGTGAGGCCTGTTGCTGATTGAACTTCAGGTGTTCCTTAGTTCTTTTTCTCAATTGTTCTGCTGTTCAGAACTTTAGAAAAGTGAGAATTTGTGGTATTAAACAAGAAAGAATAGCATGGTGTTTGATTTAATGGTAGCTTCTTTTTGGAAAATTAAGTTCATAGAGTTCTTAAAAGTCAATTTGACTCTGGTTTTCTCTACTAACCTGTAAGAGCTACTCTTACAAAATATGTTTATAAAATAAGGATACTCCTTTTTAATAAACATAACGAAAGTTCTCACCTTGGAAGGCTGTTTGTTTACAATTGCCAAAATACTTTCTAGAACCATACCTTTGGAATTAATTGCTTTTAAGCCTTGGGATATTCTGTTAGATAGTCTCACATCTGGCAAATTTTGTTCTTTGAGGTTGGAGTTGAATTTTCAAATATTCCAAAGTCCCTTGCTGCTAAGGGTGGTAAATAAGGGAAGTGATTGATGTGAAATGTATTGTGTATTTTTCTGTGTGTGTCTTCCAAACAAAGTTAGAGTTGAAGGCAGGAATTGCTAATCTAAGAAATTCTGTAATTGGCTTAAGAGGATCAGTAAATACCCTGAGTCAAAAGCAGAAAGGATCTATTTTATTTGTTTTTTTTTTTTTTTTTGAGCCAGAAATTATGGACATATAATTAGACTTGTGACAGTATCTACAGTATTTTGTGATATTTTATGAACAGCTACCCAATTGCTTTGGTTCTTTTAGTTTCTTTTATAAAAAAATTTTAAGTTTTTGTTGAAATATTTCACGTTTATAAACTATACTTGGATAATTCTGGTGACAATCAAGTAGGTCATGTACTTGGCAGTTTTAAAAGAATGGTATGGTCCCAGAAAAAAAATTTCACCTATTCTTGTTAAGTTTGCCCTTTTAACTTCTGACATACATTTTAAAACTAGCAGGTAAAAATGAAACATCTGTGCAGTATCTGACAGTATGTTGCTTGAGTAACCAAATTCAATACTACAACTTAAAGATTTTTGTACAAAAAGACACTGCAATTGGTTATTCTGAAAAAGCACTCTGGAAAAGTTGAAAGACTGTTTCAAATGGTGTTTTACTGAATACTACAAAACTTCCTCAGTTATGAATATTAACGTATTGTTGCACTCCGCCCACCTGCCTCATGTTTCATTCTCTGTCCCTTCTCCATTTACAGGGTCAGTAGCTGTTTCTCTGCCATCAGTGTCTCACTTTTTTTCTTCTCCTCAGTAAACTTTCCCCACCCCATTCACTCATCTACCTTCCAACTTCTATTTTCTTTTAACTGCTTATAATTTTTAAAAAATGCCATATCAGGAAAGAGTCTCTTTAATTCCCTTTCCCTAATTTAAACTTCTTTTTAGTTACCTTAAGAAATTCTCTTAAGTCTTATTGGTGAGGCAGGGCAAAGGGAACACTGTCATAATGATGACCAAAAACTTGTTATATAGTAGCATGTTTCTGTCTGCTCTGAAAAGGGAAACTGGAAGTTATGTAGATTACTAGGCTCAAGTAATATATGCCACTTTCTAAGTAATAGTCATCACAATATTCAGCTTGCCACTAAATTTCCTGACTTTATGGGGCAAGAGTAGAATTAATTCTGTTGTTGCTTGTACTTCCTAAAGAAGCTTACTTTAAGCCATCTAACTCCATTCTTCTGATTTCTTGAAAGAACATTGCCTTTTTGGGTTCCTGGTCTGCAGGGCCACTTCTTTAATGGAGGCCAAGCCCCTTCAATCTCTATGGGTAAATAGTGATTGTTTACTCCAGTGATGATGATCTTATTCCCACCACTAGTTATTGTCAGAAACTTGACCTAATCTTGGTCAGCGGAGTTGGAGAAGTCTTTTGGGGAGCTACTCGAAATATTTTCTTAGTTAATAGAGATGTCTAAAAGGATATGCCTCTTTCTGTTTTTGGATATTGTTGTGTTACATGGGATGCCTGGAACTGCTTAGATCATGAAGGAAGGTAGGCTGACTACTGGATGTGGTAGAGTAGAAAGATGGAAAGTCTGTGATAATATTGTGATACTGAATTAACCAGACCTGGAATCTTCCTGCCTCTAGACTTCTGTCTGTATAAGGTTATACATGTACATTTGTCTTACACATACAAATAAAGCACACATTTGAACTGATTTTTCAATTACTTGGAGTTCAAACTATCCCAGTTGATATACACTAATCCCAGTATTTAAAGATTCTTTAGAATTGAAGCTGTTAAGTATCTCCCTGCACTGCATCTGACAGTCAGAAAATACCAGAATCTGATGGTAAATCAACAGTTACCATCCTACTATCCTGGTTTTTCCTCTCTCACAATATCTAGTTACTTAGCCTCTTTATTATTTTACTTCCTTAGCTCTGAAACAATAGCCTGAAGCTGTGCTGTGAATGGTATTGTCTGTAATTAACTGCAAAGATTCAAAGTTTACAAATAGTGTCTTTGTTACCTTTTACTTAGGAAGATCAGCTCTCTCAAATAAAGGACTTCTCCATTTTAATAATCTGTTACGTGATAATTCTGGTGATATTTTTATTTTATATTCAAAAAGAAAATCTATTTTGGGAGGTATTATTTGCTTTAAATTTGGGAATTGCTTTCTTCTTTTTCACTCTGATATGAAGTGCTAGACAAAATGAATTTGAGGAACATAAATGCAAACAAGCAAAAATTAATGACCTCAGGAAAAGCAGCATGACTTAGGTGAACTCTAAGCTTTAGTTCCTATCTATAAAATCAGGAATTGGGATTTTTATCCTGCAGAATTGTTGATATTTAAGTAACATATATAAACATTTATTAGAGCTTCTGACACACAGTAAGCAGGTAACATTGTATTCCTTCTCTCCACTGCATGCAATCAGTGTGCCTACAACCTTTGCCTCATAACCTACATGGATCTATCCAGCTTATTGTTAATGAATCGCTCACAAATCTCCAGTCCATTTGTCTCTGGCAGGGCTACTTCTGACTTTCCATTCAGAAAGCAAGTCCATTCCAGAGAGTTTTTCTTCACAAATGAAATGTAAAATTTAATTTCGAAAGGTTTCAGACAATACATGTAGAGAGACTAGAATATTATCCAACTCACACTAAAATGTGTCTATAAATGCCAGCTATTTTATATTTGTATCTTAAATATAATGGTAACATTTTTAAGATACAGTTAAAGATTTAATTGTATCTTAAATACAATAGACTATCTCCATAGTCTATAAACATCATTTTGAAATTTTCTTTTGCTACCAGTCCTTCGATATTCTTTCTCATTAGCCAAATCTTTAAAAAGTCTGTAGCTTCTTTGTAGTCTGCTACTGTATAGTTTTGTACTCTATAGCTGTTTAGTTTAACCCCTGCTCTCAGATATAAGGCTGTCTCCTGTAAACTCATGGGTTTCTGAGTAAGCCTAGATTCCAAACTTTTTTGTAGTTTTTACAGTCAGCTCAAAAGGACTCACATACAAACTTTATAACACAAAAAGTTTGTAATAAGAGAATATGTGTATATGTTTTAATCAGTTCAATGCTGTATTTTTTAATGGATCTGTTGTCAACATAGTGTGAGATTTTTTTCGTTAAAATATCCAAATTTCCAACTTTTAAAAAATAGATTTTATTATTTAGAGTAGTTTTAGGTTCGCAGCAGATACAAAGATTTCTCATACAGACTTTGTCCCCTCCAACTTTTCTTTCAAAATAGAAAGATCTGGCAACATTTCCCACATAGCAGTATTTGCTTTGAGCTTAAGAGCAGCTGTCCTGTTTACTGGGCTTCTCGTCTCCATTTTACCAGTTTGCAGTCACTCCCTGTTGTACTACAAGCAACTGCCTTCATTCATGTACATTATCTAACTCTTAA